CACCAATCTCTGATAAAGTTCCATCTGAAGAACAGTTGGTCAATTCTCCGCTCGCTTCCGAAGAATTTATAACGAGAACAATCATGAGTTCTGATTCTCCTTCTAACTTGTTGACCGAGACACAACAGGAAACCCAACAGACTGAAGCTGAGCAGAAAGATGAACAAGAAATAATGACCCCAGAATTTTCAGCTGAGTCTAGGACTCAAGATAATGACAGAAACACGTTTGAGGAAACTGCGATATCGGAATCACCACTGCCCATGACTACCACTGAAGAACATGATGAAGTCCAAACGATTGAATCTGAAGACATTTTCGATGAAACCATCGCTGCCTCTAGTTCTCCATCTAGATCAGAATTCGCTCACATAGATGAACGTTTTGTCCACCAAACTATCGAAACTGAAGATGTACCTGATGAAAATATCACCAGTACTCCTCCTTCTGTATCTTCGAAGAGAGATTGGATGGAAACGGATCTCGAATTAGATCAAGACGACAGTATTGCCTTCAATTCCGGGGTTGCAACAAAAAGCCAGCAAGAAGCCGAAAGAAAAGAATCTGAGAAAGATCAAGAAATGGGAAGAGAAAACGAGATCAAAATTGTACCCTTCGATTTGCAAAATCGAACTACTGATTCTATTCACGAACTGAATCAAACAATTATAACTAGCGAAAAGTTCGAGACTGCTATATGTGATAGTGAAACTACATTGTATAGTAATCCTTGCAAATTGAATGATGAAAATATAACGACAGAAGAAAGCTTCACTGTTGTGGATGTTGGAGGACCGGATTCTACAGTGTCAGACACAATTCCCTCGGTTAATCTACAAAGTAACTCAATTGAAGAAAGTATTATGAATGAGCCACAGATCACTTCTGAAGAACAAGAGAATGAGAACATTCCGGACACTATAACTGAAAACTTGAATCATGATGCTGCAAAACTTGAGGAAATTGATGAGGAAAGTCTGTCTTGTTATGAGATGCCAAACACTAGCAATGATGACTTCGAGGCAGGATTGAGTGACGAGGCAATCACCTTCGCTAAAAAAGCAGGTCTTCTAGCTGGTGCCGCTATTGCTGCTCCGCTCGGGCTTGCCGCATTAGGAGCTAAGACAGCTTATGAAAGTCTGAAGGAATCTGGGCAATCTCTTGCTCAATCTCTCTCAGACGGGCATTCTAACGAGTACGTGACTGCTCTGAATCCGGATGAAACGTGTATATCTGTCTCTTCCGAAGTTGATGATGTTAAAACAATAACGTCTCCCATTGATTCCGAAAAGTCTGTGGACGAAGTAATGGTCAGTACCGAGAATCGTGAGATCTACTCATTTGTGGAACATAACTTAGATGATTCTTCAGTTGCAAAAGATCAATACGAAGAATATGTTAGTTTCTCATCATCTCCCACAGCTTTACAACAAGGACAATCTAATAATAATGAACGACGCCTCGAAGATTCCATGATTTCATCTTTCCATGATGTTTCTGATGAAATAGCTACATTATCCATTGATAATTTGGAACAGATTGGTGAAGGTGTCAAAATGAGTAGCAAAAAAGAGAATGCTGGAATGGAAACATCTGTATATGAGCCTTCTGAGGGAAAGTACGAACAGGTTCCAGAATCTGAACATCGTATTGGAGGAAATGTTATTCCGTCAGTAAATGAAAAAGCTTTCTCAACCGATCAGCAAGTATTCGATCAATGCTCTATGCAAAGCAGTTTGTTCTTGCCCAGCGAAGAACATCCGAGTTTAACAGATCAAACGTATATAATTCCATCATCAGAGTACGTCGGAGTTCATGAATATGGAAACGTTAAAGATGAAGTTGAATTTAGCCATGAACATGATATCTCTGGGAACAAAAGTCCCGTAGATGTAATCGACGATGATACGGAACATCCAAAAGAACATATGTTCATGAGCAGTAATGAGGATGAAAATACAGTTTTTGTAAATGAACACGAGAGACAAGAAATTTCATATGATAATGAAAAAATTAATCTACTAGAGGGCTCCAGAAAAAAATCATTACAAGACCTTGCCGCAGAAGCATTTGATAATGTTAATCGAATTCATATAAATGATGAAGTTGAGCTTGTTCCATCACCTGACAAGCAAACAGTTACAAATATATCATCTCACAACATAGATGAGGCTACAGAAGTAATAGATGATGAGGAGTGGAAAGTTTTTGACAACCGCGGTTTGGTTGTAGAAGAATTTTCTGACCAATTAACAGAAAAAGTTATGACAGAAGTTTCAAAGGAACCATCTCTGTCTAAACTTTCAAATGTTTCTTTGAGTAAGCAAGAATCTTGTAATGAAGTCACGGTAGAGCCAGAAATCGATTATCAATCAGATCTACAGGAAAAATTGGATATTCTCGCCAGCCAGAGTCGAACACAGCTCAGCTTTGGACGCGAAGAAGAACAGTTAGATGTTATTCATGAATCAGACTTGGAGAAAGATCATCAAGAATTCAACGAGTCATCAGAAACAGGCTTCCAACTCTTGTCGAAAGACACTACAGAAGAAAGTGGATCAATGGAGATGAACAATGCGAAGAAAAATGAGTTCGAAGAAGTATCAAGAAATGAGGATGATAGCTTAACTCCGGAAGAAGTCGAAGATGGTTTTATAATGTATTCTCATAACAGAGAAGACCAAGATGGTGATGGCGAACTGGAGACTGTTGAAGAAGAACCCGAAGATTCAGATTCGGTGAACGGGAGCGGTAACTCTTCTGTTGGTGCACCGTCAGATACATTGGCTATGCTAGGGAAATATCGTCATGTTTCAAGCGACAATGTATCTTTGAATAGCTTACAAGAATTTGAACGATTGGAACAGTTGGTGGCCAATCGTGGAGACAACAGTCTCACCTCAAGCGAAATCGAGTTATATGCCGCGTCTCGACTTCGCTCAGGGGAAGGAAGTGTTAACTCATTGGCAGAGTTTGAGAAATTGGAACAAGACATTGCCAATCAAGGAACAAGCAACTTATCTCCACAGGAAGAAATGATGCTATCTGTTGTCAAAGAAGAGTCTGAAGCTGAAGAAATGAGCACTCGTGACGATGAAGAGTTTGAACAGGAACAGGATCTTGACACAGCATACGAAGTTCCTACAGCTGTAAAAGGAATATCTCCTGAAAATATCACACCTGCCGATTCTCTGGAACACATAAATCTCTCAGAAGCCAACGATATTTTTGAAACCAGCACTGATTCTTTAGAGCCAAGTAGCTTGCGTAAAGAACAGATTGAAGAAGCGAAACTAAATGAACAAAGCATTATGGAAACTTCAATTGAAGTTTATGAAGTAGACACGGAAAACCTGAGGGATTCATTGGAAAATATAACCCATGAACGTGATTCGTTGCTTGAAGGTGCGAGTCAAGAAATGGCTAGTCAGGAAACCAGAGGAATGCTAAGTGGAGACACTGTGGGCACTTACCAAGAGCATGATGACGACGACAAAGTGAGTTTAACTAAACCTGATATATATATATATATATATATATATATATATA